GACATGCTCACAGGCCAATCTGACCGAGGAAATTCCTCAGTTGAGGTTCCCTCTTCCAGATGTGTCAAGTTGACACCAAGATTAGCCCTCACACTCCATGAGCAGTCTTGCCTCTAGTGCACTACTAGGCACATTGTGTCTAGTAGCTAGTAGGTCGGTATCATAGCATCCAGGGTTTGGAACTGGGTAAAACCAATGATGCTCCCCTCCCCCACCCAAGAAGTCTCCATAGCATCTTCCAACACTATGAAAGCTAACCAAAAGGAGAACATTTCCTGGTCAGTTCAAGACTGATATCCTATAACCAAAGGTTGTAGTATCTTCAGCAATAGAGACTTACCATCCAATTATGGGGGGCAATCAAGAGCAATGGTAAAAGGCTCCCACTTTAACATGTAGGATCTTTCCACAAATCCATTGACTATCCTGATTTTAGGATTTGTTTTGGCTCATAGGACAAGCCCTCCTGTCAATCCACTCTCTTGGAATCCTGCTGCTGTCATACTAAACAGTAGAGTCCATTTGCTATAGATTTGAGGTAACAACCACGAGACATCAGAGGGTGTAGCCCCTCAAATCAGCAGGTGAATGCAGCCTCACAAGTGACCTTAGGGAGAACAAAACAGCCACTTGGCTGAACCCAGCCCAAATTGTTATATCACCTAGTCCAACTAATTATCATAGTCTACTATGAAATGGTGGTTGTTTTATGAAGCATATATTATTTGATTCCACATTATGATTATGTAACAACAACAACAACAATAATAATAATAATAATAATAATAAACAGCCTGACTCTTAGCATCCATTTTAACGTCAAGAGCAGAACGGCCTGTTGAGAACCTCTTCTTTCAAATTTCTCTCTCTCTCTCTCTCTCTCTCTCTCTCTCTCTCTCTCTCTGAGCTGTGTTCTCAAGCAAGTGCTTTGCTCATTCTTTATTGAAACAGTATCTCCAGCATGAAATTGGAAAGTAAAAGCAGGCTGTCTTATCAGAAGATTATGCCCCTTCTGAACCCTATGAACTCAGAATAGCAGAATAGAGCACACACATGCACACACACACACACACACACACACACACACAGATGTTATAAATTTCTTTTATTGCTTTCAATGAGATAGGTACTGCTTACAGCACTTTGATGCTTTGATATGTAAAACATATGCATATTCATACACTTTTGATATGTAAAACATACATACATGTATCCATACAAAGGATCCTGAGGGACTAAAGTCATATGTCCAAGTCACAAGAGGAGCACATGGCTCAGTGAGTTTGTTTACATTATAAACAAGCTCTAGGTTAACTTTTTGGTTGGAAGGTTAGTTAAAAGTCATTTTTCCAGAGTACATCTGTATTGTCAAAGTCATTCCCACAGTTTTAAGCCCCTATATTTTGTGGAAACAAAAGATAATTGATACAGTAAGTCAGTGGATTGTAGAAAGTCACTGAGTACATTTTTTTACTTTGCGTTGTTTGGCCACAGTGTTGACTATACTTCCTTTAGACTGTTCTATAGGAACTCATGGTATAAATGGCTAAGCTATCAATTAGAGTCTTAAAACTACTTCTGCAAGTCTTTGAGCATCAGTTACACAATTGAGATTCAAGCTAATAATCTTCTTGGACAGTCATATAATCTATTTAGTAAAAATAGTCTTGTAAGAATGTTCTGGCCCATTTTTGTAATAAAATAGTTCTGTGACATCTGGCAACTCCTTAGTGTCTCTGTGCCCCCACCATTCTGCCCATAAAATAAATACATTGTTTATTTTTTCCCTTTCATTCTTTTTTTCCAGTCTCTCAAATTTTTGAACCAAATTCCTAACTACCAAAATATTAAATTTTAATTTTATTGTATTTCTTCTCTCTAAACTGATTTCTAATGGTGGTTCAAAGTAACAAGAATGATTTAACTACCTCTCACTTTCAAGAGAAAATGTTGATCAGCTTTAACATGGGAGACAAAATGTCAATAGGATGCCCACCTATTCACTGGGAGATTAGAGCCTGACTAGATAGAGCTTCATAGATTTGTTTTCCTCTCTGTTAGGGACTATGGATTCAGGTCAAGATTTCATCTTCAAATGCAACCAAGAAAGTGAAACCTAAAGCTATTGCCTGTCAGCCCAAATCCTAGTGGAAGAAACATTGGTCTAAATCTGATTAAGATCTATTTTATGAAATGCACAGACTCAATTATAACATTTTAAAAGCTATTGCCTGACTCTTTAAGTGATTTATTAGCTTAATATAAATAACAGTGAATTTGAGTCTTGGCTCAAGTTGGTTTCATCGTTTTTGAAGATTAGGAAAGCAAACACTCAGAATAGCTTTTCAGAAGGCATGTTGCTCGCAGCATGTCCAACGTGTTACAGTGTGTTTCTCAGGCCAGTTTTCACTTTTTTCCTGATTCTCAGGTATTCTACTTATTAATAATAGTGCATATGCCCTTGCCTTAAGGTCTAATTTCCGGGAGGTCCAAGTGTCCAGATTTAGGTTCCTCCAAAAGCAGAATCTGACATAAAGACATATGAGTAGCTTACCTCAGAGATGATCATAGAAAGAACCAGCAAGAGAAAGCAGGAAAATGGAGGAAGAAAAAGAAAAACCAATACAATGGCATAATGGTGATGTAGCACTATGGGAAAATTAGGCTACTTTATCCTGGGAAACCTTGTAAAATGTCCCTGAAAATTGTCCCTCCATTTAATTCATGTTGGAGTAAAGGTAAATAGCCTAATGTCCTTCTTCGATAAAATATATGTAAGACTAGAATAGTATAATATTCATCTACTAACTTCCATCCCTTTATGAGGGTTAAGGGTTGCTGAGGCCCTTACTGTCAGTGAGTTCAGCAAGGCATCTGTCATGTCTGTTTCGCCACCCCCAGATGAGAAAGCTTCTGAAGAGAGGCAGAGAGACAGGAACCTTATGTTGAGAAGTCAGTGCCCACTGCCACTAATGACCTCATTGGTGAGTAGAGGGCACATTGTGAGGCATGAATGGTGATGATCAGACAGATTCCTTCCCTTATTCTTTGTATGGGTAGAGAAATGGCATCATTTCCTTTTCTGGATTGCCACACTGTACTCATGTGATCTGCCACCCCTGCCACTCCTAGTGTTTCTTTGGTTACTTCTAGCATCAACCATGTTTGTCCCTATTCTCTATCTCCCTTGCAAGCATGTTCAGGGAACCTCATCCACTGTTGCCATTGATATTTCTGGTGTACAGTCTCATAAAATTGTGATTTGCTACATCATTTTCTTTTCCTACTACCTTCAAATTATGGCCACCACCCCACACATCCTGTATGTCCCACTTCTTGCCCTTAACACACCTGATGGGAGATATAGCAGTTTCAAGGTCTCAGGACAATAGGGTGGGAAAGCTATAATTTTCATAGCCATTTCACCTGAAGAGCAATAGCAAGAGTTCTGGTTTTAGAGTCACTGATGTTTAATCCCAGCCATAATTCAGAAGACAGATTCTTTTTGTTTTCGTCATTCTATATAGAAAGTCAAATGAGGCTGAGTGGTCTGGAAACTTGTCCAAGATCATAATTTGAAGCTGACTCCAAAGTGAATCTTATTTTTTGAAAGTTGCTTTTGACCACTGTTTGGATAGAAGCATGTCCTCTTTGTGTGCCGTACTCCATATTGACAACAGCATAGCAGTCGAAACAGCATGGTCCTGTGTGTCAAGATCTTAGGTGTGAACCATGGCTTTATGAGCCCCCATGGCTCGTCTAAACATCTTCAGTGTCCAGTAACTTGGAGTTGGGGAGAGAATTTACAGTGCTTCTAGACATGTTCGTATGTGTTTACTTCTGTATAGTTTAAGAGCTTTCTTCCTTCTTGTATCATTTATAACTAATAACCTTGGAGGTAAAGTAACTGTTGTAGCTTTCAACTTCTTAAGTATGGGGGGAAAGCCCACAGGGCTGGTTTCTCACTATTTGAGACTTGGAACAAGCCAAAACTTGATGTCAAATGCTAAGGCTGCCAACCCCACTTTCTTGCTTCTGTGGGATGTATTTACCCAGATTTAAGATTTCCTAAGAGTCCTCAGTCCCTAAACTGGAAACAAGCACATATTTCATACAAGTGCAAAAAGTTCTCTTTTTCAGATTTTGAATTTAGCTTTAGATTATTGAGATATATTCTTTTGACATGACAACTTTGTCCTTAGATCTTGAAGTGCTGCTCCATCCTAGGTGGCTGAACTAGTCAAAGACTTTCTTTCAAGGTCTATAACAATGTCATTAGGATGGATGGGAACCAATGCAACTAAACCAATGTATGTATGTCAGTATTTCATATATTGGCTTAAAGAATTAAAACAATATTAAAATGGGTAATAATTTCATATATAAGAAGGCTAGAAAGTTGAACCCAAATCTCAATTAGATCTTTTTGTAAATAAAATCTTTGGCCACTCACTTGTTTTACTTCTAACGATGCAACTTGAGTTTCAAAAAATATGTATCAAGTTTACCACCATTTTATTGTCAATGTCATGAAATTTCCAATGTTTGTTTGAAAAATCATTTAGCAAAAGCAATGAAATTAGAGCCGTTAGCTATAAAGATGAAAATATTTTAATGGAATAATGTTGGGTAACAAGGTAGCACAGAACCTCTTATAAGCACACATACATACTCGGGGGCGGGGAGAGGGAGAGAGAGAGAGAGAGAGAGAGAGAGAGAGAGAGAGAGAGAGAGAGAGGATTGGTGAGAGCTGAGGGGAATGAGAGTTATAACCAAGTGATCTCAGCCATAACTTACATTGTGATGCAGCAAACTGAATGCCCAGGGCAGAGCTGGAATTGGGGGTGAGGGTGGGGGTTGAGAAACACTGATATAAATCATTGGATTATACAGATAGCTCCCCAAGGAAATAAGAAAAAGACAAACATTATTTTTAAACACTATTTTATTTTCATATTTTTTGCAAAAACACTAATAAATATTTAAACCACTCAGTTATAAGACATTAAACAAAGGCATTGTGCCTTACATAAAAAAAGACATAAAATGTCCAAGGGTTATTTAAAACATTGTAGTTCCTAAAGCTTCAACACAAAAATGTTGATCACAGTTGTAAAACCATTTCAATAAATAACAGCTGATAGACTGTCTAAAGAGTTACAAAAACAGGCGTGTACATACATTCTTCATATACTGAAATGAACCCTCTTTGTCTCTTACTGGGTTATCCCAGCCTCCATTACAATGGTCAGCATGTTATGGGTGCCTCAGAAATATTAATATCCTGACAATATTTAAAAGACTTTTAAAATTAAGAGCCAGGATTGACTAAACTTAGATTTGACATAAAATAAACAATAAATATAATGGCAGTGTGCAAGTAGATTCAATCACAGCCTTATTTTACATATAAAATAATATAGAATACATATGGAAAAGTAAATAAATATGAGCTCCCCAAAGACTCATTCACAACAAGAGTGTCTTTCAAAGGCCCTTCCGGGTGGCTTTGAGAAAGCTCCATGGGCTTCATCCGTTCCGGCTTAGTTGGAGGTGCCACTGTCAGGAGAAAATGGATGTCTTTATTAGGTACTCAGCAGAACTGACTGGACTGCATTCTTCTGTCCCCTAGGTTGCCAGACCATTCTGAACACAGTGTGGCCCCCAAGGGGCCACTGCCTGTGATGGTTGTAAGACAGAGCATCACTTCAGCTCCAGTGGATGCTCTCCTTCCTGGTAGGAGATGGAGTAAGGATCTGCAGTCTCCAACAGCAAAGCCTGTTACTCTTTGCCTCTCACACCGGGCCTCATTCAGTTCAGGAATACTTACTATTTTCTGATTTGCTACGTCTCAATCTAGAACTTCCTGAGTTACATGGTGAACAGTTTGTGGTGGAATCCAGATCTGTATGTAGTGTGTGACAGGGCAAAAATCCCTGCTCTCCTTCATCAAATACTAGAGGCCTGTTTCTAAACACCAGGGACCTGCTTTTCAGAAGAGAGTGGGAGAGTCTGTGATTTTTAGCAAGTGGGATGCTTTTAGCACAGGAGGTCAACGCTGTAGAGAATTTTAAAGAAGGGTGGCACCTATATGTATAGAGATAGTGTCCAGGTGAGGATAAAAGATCCTGGAAAAGTCCATCTGGCACCATAGTAGATTAATAATATCAATGGGTAATATAATTATGAAAACAATAATCACGATTTCTAGTCCTGTCTTGAGCTTCCCTAGTACAACTTTCGGGGGCCAGGTGTGAGTACTCTGACCCACGACTCCTGTCACAAGCAGAAATACAAACCACAACTCACTTGTTCAGAATCTTCTGGATGATCTTTTGAACCATGGGGGCTTCGGGATTGAGACAAACTTCTCGTCCATTTTTGAGAGTGGCTCTGCAGAGAGAAGATGGTACAGGAATTAGGCAGGAGGTCTGGCTGGGGTGAAGGGGGGACAGCGGGAGGGTAGGGGCGACTGTGGTCTCGGGGCTGTGGGAGGCACTCACATGACTTCGGTCTGGGTGCAGTGGGCTCCCGGGGGCGTCATCCTCACGCTCTGGAGGCTCTTGAGTTGAATCCCTTGCACCGTCTGCAGGCACTGGCAGCGCAGCTCGCCGGCCACCGGCACCCCTAAGGGAGAAGACACTGGGTTAGCGGGGCGGTGGGGGCGGCGCTCGGAGCCTCATCCTGAGGACCGCAGGGCGCTGGTCCCACCTGTGGTCTGGCTGGTGGCCAGCAGGAGCAGCAGCAGCAGCGCGGAGCGCAGGAGCGGGGCGCGGGCCGAGTGGACCATGATGCTGGACAGGAGAGTCGTGAGAGCCTGGAATGCGGGAGCTGATTTATGGGAGGCTCTGAGAGCGATCTGGGCTCCCTGGGCCCAGCGAGCCCCTTTTATTGCACGGTGGCGGGAAATTCCCGAAGCCCGGTATCTCTCATCCGGAAGGATGACGCTGCCTGGTCCCTGGGCTGAATGGGCTGGGGACGGGCACGCGGTGCTGCTGGCCTCGCCCCTCTGCCCTGCACCCTGTCTGTGGGACCCTGGGAGGTTGGAGACCCGCCCCAAACCACCAAGAGGAAGGGCGTGGCCGGCTGCGCTGGAGTGAGAGCCTACAAGGGGACCTGGGGTGCAATGACTCGAGTCCTACGGAGAGGGAGCAAAGAGTTGAGGTTGAAAGGGAGAAATCCATTACAGGGGTGGCAAGAGGCATTTAGAGAAAGACAGTTACACCTTGATAGTGCTCAGCTGGGGAGTTGAGGTTCAGGAAGAGCTGGGAGGAGGACTGAGATTTTTCTTGGCTGTCTTGTGTATGCATCCTTTCTGTCTCTGCCTCTAATTTTTAAGAGATTTTAAATTTTATTTATTTTTATTTTATGTCTATGACTGTTTTGCCTGCATGTGTGTAAGTAAAAGAGATGCCAGAAGAGGGCATCAGATACCTGGAACTGAAGTTAATGGCTATTAGCTATCAAGTTGGTTCTGGGAACCAAACTCAGGTCCTCTGAAAGAGCAGCCAGTGCTCTTAACCCCTGAATCATTTCTCCATCCCCTACCTGTAATTATTTTAAGGTGGATTTTAAAAGCCAACATTTTGATTGGGTGCAAAATAATGGGTTTCATCTACATTTTCATATGTATTATATATGGATATATACATACATACATCTATCACTGTATCTGTTTATATCCACCACCCTCACTGCTTTCCCTCATTGCCCCTCCCCTCTTGCAATCCCTTTCCTCTCCCTCTTTATGTTATATATGCATATACATGGAAATCTATATCCACATATGAGAGGAAACATAGAATATTTGTCTTTCTGAATCTGCCATCATCCATTGATGTGATAGAAGTTCCACCCATTTTCCTGAAAATGGCATAATGTCACTATTTAGGTCGGAATAAAACTACACTATGTGCATGGACCACATTTTCTTTACCCATTCATTTGTTGACAGGCATTTGGGCTGTTTCCACATCTTGGCTGTTGTGAATTGTGTCGCAGTTAACATAGATGTGCATGATCTCTGTGGCATGTTGTCATTCCATAACTGTCTATTTTGTATACTTCATAGACATCTGAGATCAACTCTACAAAATTTTAGCCAACATCACAGACTGCAGACATTTGTCTTCTTCCTTATGCTGCATCTTCTCAGATCACCTTTACAGTATCTTATTTATGATCTCCATCTGGTGGGAACAGAAATCAGCACCAAAAGTTGAACCTTGTGCTAATTTCAATGAAGGGGGGCGGTGTAGCATGAACTCTTCTGTATCCTGCATAGCTTTTGCCCTCTGTGGTGTTGGAACTTCTGAAATTGAAATTGCACAGAGATCTTTTTTTCCCTAATATAAAGGGTTCAAATTTGATCTTGGAAGTATGGAATCACCTGGCCAAGCTGAAGCTTGGCCCTAGGAGCTCATAGCCTCTTGTCTGTCTTTGGAAAGCATAACCCATACTCAATAGAAAGTACATACCAGGTATACAGCACCTTTGCCTCTGGGCCAGCAAAACCAACATGTGGGTGAAATCGGAAACAAAATCACACATAAAATCCCATTCCATCTTCTTCAGTGGCATTCAGGGTTGGCCCCTCTTTCTCTAGAAACATTGACATGTCTGTTTGCTGATGCAGAATTTTAGTCTTTCAGCCTAATGCCAACATCATGTTTTCTCCAGAGATTTTAGAGAGCTAAGATTTATCATTGAGTACAGAGGTTTTAAGAGTGACATTCCAAGTTGGCTTAAATCTCCCTCACAGAGACTCGATATATGATGGGAATAGAGGAGAAATGATCTCTGTCCAAGGGCCTCACAGTTCCAGGACAGGGTGGCACACAGCTCAGCATAACCAGTGCAAGCCAGTGCCCTCAGCCAACCACAGGGCATGTAAATCTTCATTGCCCTATATCACTCGCAACTTGTCAAACCTCTCAGTACCTACCCAGCATGGAGACGATGAGAGGTGAGTCAGCATTTGTAAAGAGACAGCATGGATTAAGTGCCTTACAAACATCTGTTAAATAAATAAAACAGACATGGTTTGTCCAGTATTGCCTAAACAGAAACCCAACCTATTATAATTCCTCCCATGAAAGAAAAAAAAAAAAAAACTAACAGAAAAAGTTTCATTCTGTCGTTTATGGCCCCTAGCTCTCATTAACTGTGTAAAGCATCACTAGAAGCAGTGAGCCTTCAAGATGTCAAAGCAGAGCCTAGAGAAGAATGTTCACATCAATGCCATGTTCTCATGCAAAGTTCCCTAGTGTGACTGGTGCTTAGTGACAGCACCACCTTGGCAAACCTTAGTGGTAAACATTGAAGAGAGCACTTTTCAGTAATTTCCTTTTATACCCCTCCCCATGACTTGAATTCTTCAACAATAATGATCCCAAACAGCACTGACACCAAAGGAGGTGGAAACACAAATGTTCCCAGCTGTATGTGTTGCAGACTTGAAATTGCTTGCTTGCTTGATTGCTTGCTTGCTTGATTGATTGGTTAATGACTGATTGAAGCATTGAGACAGGCTCTAAGTTTGTAGCCCAGGCTGGCCTGAACTCACTATGTACTCTAAGATAATCTTGAAATTGTGATAATTCTCCTGATTCAACCTTGAAAGTACTGGGATTGCTGGCTCATGACACCACACCTGCCAATGTTGCAAACTTCCAAATTCAAAAAAGTCAGTTGAGGGGCTGGAGATGTGACTCAGTGGTTAAGAGTACTGGCTGCTCTTGCAGAGGACCTGGATTCTGTTCCTAGCTCTCACATTGTGGCTTACAGACTCTGTAATTCCAGTTAAAGGGATTCCAACGCCCTCTTCTGGCCTCCTCGGGCACTGCATGATGTGGGTGCACTTACTTGAAAGCAAAACAGACACATAAAAGTATATAAATCATAAAAAATTTCAAATCGAGGATTTACTAAAAATGGTAAAAATAAATTTCTATGTTTAGGACGTTCAGAAAGAAAGGCTGAAGTATGTTTCATTGGAAGGTGCACTTACATGGAATTATTTTTTCGGTGGAAGGAGGGACCAATCATTGAATTATTTTGTCATCCTACATTTAATCATTTTGTCCGTAAAAGAAAGTTTGAGTAAGAGTCTTATTCATTGGGAAGGATGTATGAGGTGAATGATTATCTTTCTGTTAAGTTAGTTCTTTGGCAATATGTATATTATGTATATAATTATGTACATAATGCATTCTGATTACTCTCTCCACTAATCCTCTCTTCTCTCCCTCCCAACTATAGCAACCCCTGATCCCCCAACCAATCCCCTTCCCAGGTGTTTTCAATAAGACACCATGAGAATAACTAGGAAGATTAAAGGGGGGTTAAAGTTTGTGTCAGGGAAAAGGAAATGAGAAAAGAAAATCTGAAGACTATAAAACGTGTGACTAGCTGATGAATAATAATACACAATCAAATATTCTTATGATTAGTCTCCTTATTACCACACTGTTTAAGGTTTAGTGGGAAATTGGCCAGAAATGTGAAAGCAATTCTTTGAAACCTGAAAAATGTATTGATGTATTTTCTAATTATACATGTAACACATGATTGTTTATAAAGTTTATAAAGTTAGAAAGGCATGATTTTTTCCCTAATCTCTTTAACTTTTGAGTATGAAACAAACACTTAACAGGTCTGAGCTTCCTTTTCCCTTTGGCAAACAGTGCTTATAAGAGCTTGCAGGATTCTTGGTAAGTATGAAACACGCTGTTTCCTTTATTTAGTTGCCACACACGCTGAGGGCATGTTACCAAACCGCTATACCTACCCCAAGACAAAGAGCATTTATTTTATGCTCTTCTAAGCACTTTACAAGCATTGACTCATTCAATCTTAAAAACAATGTCATAAAGCAAATATTATTACTACCTTTATGAAATTTTAATTAAGAAACTAAAGAGCAACAGTTAAGTTACTTCCCTAACAGGCACTGAGCCTGGGAATCAAATCC